TATATATATATATATATATATATATATATATATGTATATGATCCACCTATAAATAGAAACTGTTTATACTTTACGAGTAAAAAAACGTATGTACTAACTATAAAATCTCTTTTGCAGAAATTTTGAGGTTATCGCCACTGAGGTATCCATAGTTGCAGCCTACGCAGCAGAATTTTGATGTGGCATTTGCTGGTACAATCAGTGACCAAGTACAGTACTGAAAATATCAGATCATATTCCATTTACTTTCTGTGTTATTACCAAACGTTAGTTATTTAGCAACAGTCATTGCAAACAGGTCCGTTTATGACCGGCGTAGCCGTATAAAATTTTTTTACTTCATTTTTTGGATACTGAAGTTTGGTCCTCATGTTGGTAAAGTTTCCTTTGAGGTCATTATAACTACGGCTATTATAAGCTAACGAGCACGTTTTGTTTTCCAGTTTCATAGTTGTCAGTAAAATTCGGAACGCTTGAGTACTACTCTTTACAGCGCTTTGTCTAGCATATCTGATACGCAGCTCACTGTCGTAATAATAGACCCCAACTGGTTCAGTACCAGTCCTATAATATTTGACAAACCAACAATTGGACCGCTAATCATAGATAATCATAGTGACATAGATGTGAGAAACCAATTTTTAGTTACCTGTCAAAGACCCTTGTACTCTGATTACCATTAATACTTCCAGTTACATTTAGAACTTCATTGTCAGACATATCTAAAGCCAAAACTTTAAGCACCGTTAACCAGCCGCTTGGTGGAGCTATATAGTTCCATTCACAATTCTTCTGGTAAGATCGTGTTTCACTGTAAAAAGTAGTGGTAATCTTCTGAAGGAAATTTAGCAAAGTATCGTCTGAAGAGGAAGTGTCAAACATTTGTCAGTGTACATTCTGAAAAAACTCCTAAATAGATGATTTCCTTTGTTTTTCCCTGTCAACCAGTTTTAACAGTTATTCCAGTCCGTGATCGCGTACATTTGAACACGCCCGTCTTTTTCTTAATTCTTTATAAATTCGAAGTCTATTTAGCTGATATAATAAAGTGTTTGTACTTTGAAGGCTGACTGTTTCAAGCGTTATCACTGGTGCTAAGTTACATTTTGCTAAACTAGTTATAAATTCAGTGTTTTAAGGTAGCTATAAAAAAATGTTTTTTAAATAAGAACTTAGTACAAAAAATAAAACAAGCTTGCAGTTATTTGGCCAAAGAAATAAAAAAATTACTTTTCTTGATAATAGTCAGAAAATAAGAAAATTGTTCCATTAATAGCAATCGACGCACCATTAGTTCCACCTGGACACTTGGTATCCCCAATATCTTTAACACATACTTATAATATCTCAAGTAAACAAAGTGTTTCAATGTATCATAAAACTGAAATCATTATATAAATTTATTATAAGTTCTTTATAATAGGTTTAACAAATTACCTGAGGAGATCGTAATTGAATTTAGTTGCGTCCATCGTGTTGAGTTGTCAAGCTCTGATGTGTAAGATATAGTAAGATTAGTGGCATTTCTGAACAGAAATGACTTGAACGTGTTCAAATCGATAGATGAATCCACTTTTAATCTGAACATTTTATTCTTTAGCTTTCCATTGGTCAAATGTTTAGCGAAGACGTCAAAGATATATCATTTCTCTAACGTGCAACCTCTCCTAGTGTTCATTTCAATTTCTGTTGTATTTCAATGCGTCACTGAGAAACTGAATGCTTATTATATGCATCTGAAAGTAAAAAGTTCGTCTTTGAAAACTACCTAACATAAACAGTTGTGTATACTTGTTTTTACCGCAAAACCTCAAATTTTTCTTATAAATCATTTGTACCATGAATAACTTCCCGACACACTTTCTGCAAACCGCATAAGTTACCAATCCAAATTTTCTATTTAAATTTCTAAGTAGTCAGTTTCAAACTTAAAAATAAAGTAATGACTTGGTCTAGAAAAGCAACCCTCTACAAACTTTGGTCTCACTTGAGCTTCCTAATAAGTCCGAAAGCCAACTACGTAGAATTTTTTCATTAATTTTGTATATCTTCTTAAAAAACATTTTAAGGCAAGCAAATAAGCTGTAAATTAAAATTTTATCTTGTTAAAAGTTTAGGTAAACTTTTTTTAACTTCGTGTTTATTTAGTGGTTGTTCCCGTAGAAGCAGTGAAGAAACCCCAAACAAAGTAAATGGTTTTTATTCCTGCTGCAGGAGAAGCAATAAGTAAAAGCGTCAGAAGTTTGAGTAATAAAAGGCATGAATTTTTTAACCGAAAGAAGTCTGTTAGCAGATTGGTCATTACTTGAATCTTTCGAGTATAATTAAGTGTTTTAGTATTTTTGACATAGTCCATTCAGCTTTTCTCAACTTTGAATCTCTACATTACCTGTTTCACTATATTTGAATAATTATTCAAGAGACCAACAATCAAACTGATGTAATAGCGAATAAACTATCTGGCTAACTAAACATTTCTTCAAATATTTTTTATACCGAAAATCTTCTTAGCTTCAACTGTTGAAAGGTGTGCAGAGAAACTTACATTGTTTCTTCGCTGTTGCCATATTTGTACACAAGATTTTCTTCCAGATAAGTATCTTGAAGATACACTTGAACTGCTGTGTTTCCTGCTACCTTAATAGACGGGAATTAGATGAAGTCGGCTATTACTGTTCTGACTTTCCATACCAGATTTAACAGTGACTGTCTCTGCTTTTTGCAAAGATTCTCAAAAACTGTACTGTTGTTGCAAGAATATTGAAGTGTGTTCCTTTTATAACATTCATTAGTGAAATACGGCTTTTTACTAAATTTTATTTTTTACTGACCAACTATTTTCATTTCAGTTTCCATAACTGGAATTAGAAAAAAGATTTAGATAACTACGAGAGATTTAATAAGATTTAGATATAACTCAGTTCTCGGAAACTGTGGAAACTGTGCTGTTGTTGGAGGACTGTTGTTTCTTCTCTGTTTTTCACTCTGCATTCAGAAAGAATATTTGGAATCCACTAAACTGCTGTATTCTTCGTCCTATTCGATGATGTTTATCCCAGTGATTAACTTTGGTTTTATTAGACGGGAAATTGCTCAGACTTCTGAAACTTATCTTAAACCTTAAAATATTCGACTGTCTTGCAGAGCTTTCACTGTTTATCCGCCACCATCCGTCGCCAAAGTAGCCTATTCTTCGTCCCCACAGCGTCGGTTCAGAACCACAATTTCTGTCCTTCTGAACAACTCGAAGACGTTTTCTGACGGTTTGCCGGACCTATTCAAGAATTGATAGCTTGCAAAATTTTTGCCACTGCTTTTCTAACTTAAGAAAATTCACGCATTATGAAGGAACAGTCCTCGCTCCTCTTTTTAGAACATCGGTTCGTTCACCCGTCTGTTTTGTGAAATTGCGCTTTTAGCTTGGAAACGAAATTTGACTTTGTAGTAAGCAGTTGGAACTGGCAAGGTAACAGTTCAAAAGCTGCTTTATTCAAGAAGAAAACGCAATTTGCAAAAAGGAATGGCTGAAAGAATCGAAAACAGCTGTTGTCGCATTTAGCAAATACCATTTGTACAAGAACAGTATGTATTGAGATGCATATATTTGTTGCTCGAGTTAAGAACACGTATTTTGTAATACATACCCTTCTCATTTTTTACTTGTCAGTAAGCTAAAATATTGCGTTGCATTTTAATACTACTAGCTCTCGAGAGAGAGAAGATTCGGCTAAAAAAACTGGCTTTGAAAAATGAAGCAAAGTTTTTTATCATACATGAGCATTGCTAAGCTGCCGATAATAGCAGTTTCATGAATTGGTGAAAGTTTATCAAAAGAATTCATTAACGCTCATCAACTGCAACACGTTACGCTTTGTCTAAACATTGTGGTTTACGCAGCTTTGAAGAGTGAACAATTTAAGCTTTGAGCTTTTTTTTTTGCTTAGACTTATGATTTTATATTGAAAAGTGCTTCGCTCTTTTTTTTTCTCTTAATTCCTACCTCAGTTATTCTTAGGTTGCCGCTTTTTAGCAGTGTTACTGCTAAGAAAAAATCTCTAGATGTAGTTTAATAAACAATCTTGTTCAATAAATATTAACTAACCGAAACTGATGCATTTACTGAATAAGTTGCATTTGACAATACGGCGACCTGATTTAGGCAGACGGAGGAAACAAACGGTTGGAAAGAGAATGAAGTGTGAAAAAAGGAGGCAATTCTAATTCATTTATGTAGTCAAGTAGAATGCTGATGTAATCAGTAGAATGAGCGATTGAAATCCAATAGTAAACAGAGACGGAAAGTTTTTCGGATATATTTGCTTGAGAGTGTTATAGGGAAAGACCGCATAGTGTGACGCACGTTGGAACATTTTCGTTAAAACATTATTCTTCAAGAAACCGGTCACCCTCGTAAACTGTTTTACTGCGGCGGTAACAAACAATCAGTCGTGGAAGTCGAATGCTGAATTTGTTCATGAAGGTCGGAAACAACTCTGATAACAGTCGAAGTTGCCACTGTAGAAACAAACGTAATCTGATATGGCAATTGATAAGGTGAACTGTATAGACAGTAACGTGAAAAAAAAAAGCAAGGAAAAGCACTAATAATGCGTAATTCTGTTTTACGACTGCAAATAAGCCTGTCCGCTGCTTAGAGGATGTACAGTTCAATCTTCAGTATAGCAAAAAAGAAAAAAGGAATTGATTAAGTAACACAGAAGAAAATTTGGAACTGTAAGTTGAAAAAATGTAATTAGACATATTTAAGTTTATAGAAGTGTCTTATGAAAAGATTACACTACTCTAGGTAACTATAATTTTTTTAATAAACTGTTTTTTACTTTATTTTTTTAACAAAAACTCATTGTTCTTTTTTAAATTGACGTGCGTTTTGCTGTTTACCTACTGATGATAACAAATTTCTTCAATGCACCTAACCATAAAAGGTTACAAAAGTTATCTCTCTGCTTGCTGAGTTATCCTATTATTTACAAATCTGATGTCTGCTGTTTGCTACTTGTTCATTTAAATCTCAGCAACGGACGTCTTATGCTAATAACAAGCGTTTTTTGTACTATTAACCATGCCTTATCCTATTTAGCAACCACGAACAATCCTAAATTTTACTGTTATCTTGTTTCTAAACTATTAATCAAACTTAAATCAAATAAATGATATAAAAGCAACTCATTAGTACTTTCAAAACTAGAAATACTGCACGTTCTGCTAATCGCAGTTTTAAAACTGTTATCAGCAATCAGTACACTGAACGCCAACTTCCGACTTTACTTGCACTAGAAAAATTAAATATCCAAAATTAAAGTTGAAGTCTTTATATCCTAGATACCATTAATGTTGCCTCTAGTGATAACCAGCCCCTGATTAGATATCGAGACTGTAAGACTGTACCTAAAACGCTAGCCTTGTAGAAAAGAAAATAATTATTTAAAACTTCAAAGTTTAACCATTCAAAATTTCAATTAGATCTTTGATGTTAACAGAACCTTTTTAAATTTGAAATTCTGATTTACCATAGAAATATTTACTGTACAGCAAATATAGCTACTAAATATAACTCTGCCAAAATTGTTTCGAGAATGAGAATCAAATTGGTCTTTTGACCACACTGATCAATTAATTAGCAGTGATCAAAATGTTTTCTCCAGATACATTAAAAGCATTTTGAACAATACAAATTGGTATTATTAATTAATGTTATTGAGCACTAAAAGTGGTAAATGAGAAACCTGGTCGTAAAACTATGAGTAAATAGACAAAGTAGAGAAGACGTCCACTAGTCGTTGTCAGACATTATGAAGAACTTATAAAAGATCAACAAGAAACACTGTTCATGGTACAGAGTTCTTCTGAAAAACCAAATTTTACCCAATTATAAATTTAGTGTAATTTTAACTAAAAGAAATAAAATTTTAAATTTTTGTGGTGAAGAAAATAATGCATTAAGAGTAATCAAAAACGCTTTGTCTCATCTTTTTTCTCATATTTTTTGAAGTTTATGCTGTTATTCGAGGTTTTATGAACCCGAATTTGACGCAGCTGTTAGTAGCTGAGCAGTGTCAGCTAAATTACGCAATAGAATTTTGAAGGCATAGCTGGTGATCACGAATGTCGCTCCAACCACCATTTGGTGCTGATGGCTCTTTCAAAATAGCCGGTTTTTCTGCTACGACAAGTGTTTTTGGAAACAGTTCTGGTAATATGTCATAATACATCCTTATAACCTGAAAGTTATTGTTTATATGAGTGTACTTGTTAGAATTTAAAAAAAGTAGCTGCTCCTTTTCAATTTTTACTCAACCTCCTGCGAAGAATTCTGTGTTCCACATCGCTGAGTATGAACACCACAATCACCAATGTGCATTACTCGAGGTAATGTGACAGTTATAGTTTCCCATTTCGAGCGAAAACACTCTTGATTTACCCTCATTAGTGACCAATCCCAGTTATAGTCATCGTACTCACAAAATACCTATAATGCAGAAAAAAAAAGAAAAGTACTAAAGTTTGGAGAAACAAACAGTAGAAAGTTTCCTTAAGAGCGGTTAAGCTATAAAAAAAATCTAAAAAAATTTTTACTTTAGAACAACTTTTAACTTGACTCCAAGCTGTTCGGTCAAAAACCATTCCTATATTATGATCACTGCTGTACCACAAATGCCTACCCAGTTGAGAAGGTTTTCTCTCAATCTCGCGATAGTGTCCAAGAACAATAACCTGACACTGTAAACAATACCTAAAACAATTTAATTTACTTATATATTTATCACAGAAAATTAAAGTTTTATAAATCAAAAACTGTGTCGACATTTTGAAAAAAAAACTGTAAAATTAAACTGTAGAAGTGTAAAAGTTAAGTCAATAGCAGAAAAGAAGCGATTTAACATTAACTTCTAGTGAAGCAGCTGTCAACTTTTTCAGCTAAATATTATTCGTCAGACTTATCTTCTAATAATTTTACTTTCTTAGAAAATAACGAATTTGTTATTTTGCTTTCGCCTTATTTTTGAACTTTCCTTGGTTGTTTATAAAACTTATACAAGTAAACTTAATCAAAAAATTATTTAATTTTTGCCTTGTTCTTGTTTGTAGTTAGTTTACTTTTTTACACTACCAATCTGCAGTTGACAGTTACTTGGTTGTCGTCATTTCTGCAATTATTGTATTCCACTAAATAAGTTTTATTATTGGAATTCAAGACAAATGAGACCTACTGTTTTGATTTTTTTTATCAAATTTTTCGATAATAATATTAGTTACTCACCTAAATCTGCTAGATAAAAGATTACTCAAATTTTTTTATTACCAATAACTTTATTTAAGTGCCTGTAAGACACAAAATTTTTGCACCTTCTCGTCTCAGCCTCATGTAGCCTTAACTGTTTTCACATTATTACATCTAAGACGTTGAAGCAGATTCTTGCTTCTTAAGTCTCTGTTAATCGTTTCTTGTTGTCATGATGATCTGCTTTTTAAGAGCGGTTTATCGCAAAGACTACAAAACTACTAGCAAAAGTTTGATTTCGCAAATGAAAAGATACATTTCACTAAAAAAAGGAAAAGTAATAAGTTGAAATCGACCACGTGCTTTTGCTTTTGCTTGGTAATCAAATCCATCATGTACAAAAGATCTGGAGAAACGTAATGGTCCTCTTCAAGTATAAGAAGCGGGGTATTTAACAGGCCAAATTTCTTCATAATATTGTCAAAGACGTAGTTCATCTAGGCAGATCTTCTTATTTTTATAACAGTATGTCTTTTATAGAATTCAGAAAATTTATAAAACTTTAATACTTTCCACCACCAGTGATGCTTTATTTGTGCTAGTTTTGCATCTCTATGACGACCATATTGACCTTGAATACCTGACCGGCGCACTTTCTCAGAACTAAATAACAGAATAAACAAACAACAGCAGTGACATGTTTCTGTAAGATCAGTAAGGACTATCTGTGCCTTTAGACTGAGAAATCAACGAATGATCAACTTTGATTCGTTTCCCTGTAAAATACAATTGCCTGAGTCTGGTCCAGGGAAACAATCGCGGTACCACTGTATTGAATATGGATAAAAAATTTGCATCACCTATAAAATGTAGTAAACTAAATTTTGGTTAAAAAGTTTTTGTTGTATAAATTTACTGAACGCTAGTCTACTTAAAGCAAAAAAAAAGTAACCTGAAAAACTAAAAAAAAAAAAAGATTTAAACGTGTAAGACAAAAATATAAAATAAAGGAACCTTATATAAGGTTAAACAATATATATTATTAAGAAAAGAGCATCTTAAATGTACAGATACATTGCAAAATTTAATCTCTTTTATAAGAAGATTGATCTGTGATAAGAGACAGTCGTGACTGAATATCACCAACGCTTTATCGATTTCCTCACAGTTTCTCAACGAGTCGATCAAGTAGTTTAAGTAGTTGACACGATCGTGAACCTAATAAAATTTATTTCAAGTGTTTTGTTAATAACAATTTCAGTTTCTAATGACTGCCACTGATCAAAACTCAACAAAAAAATCTGAAAAAAAAAGTGAAAAAAATTTTTAATAAATTTCTGTCAAACAAATATAGCAAACAGAGGACCAATCAACATCTAATTTAAGCAGCTCATTTATTTAGCTACTAAAATTTCCAGAATATTAGACAAACAAAAGCGAGTGACTTTAAGATCCTTATCAAATTTAACAGAAAGAAAAAAACATAACGATTACCAACTTTGAAGTATTCGAAAATGGTTTATTTAAGATGTATTTTTAATTTCTTGGCTTGCTGTTTTACTTTAAAAACTAAAAATTTTTAAGCCGAGTTTTATCATATTATTCAGTGCCATGAATTAACTCCCTTTAAATGAAAGTTTTCAAAAGATTTGTGTGCTGTTATGTTACTTTCAAAAAAAATAATAATAGTAATTTGATTACTGTTGTTAAATAATATTTCAAATTAAAGAATTGCTCACAAAAGTTACAAGTTAAAAGAAGAAATGTGGTTTTTTTTTGTTTTTTTTATCATCTGACAGTCATCAAACTTAGCTTTTTGTGTACGGGGAGCAGAAGCTACGTTTTTGTTGATAGTAATTTTAAAATTTTTAAACCGTTTAACAGCAGGATTTATCATCGTATTAAAGCTTAAAGCCGTCAAAACAATTCCGGTAAATAGTAACTAATACAAAACCAAACACTAATTGAAAATTTATAATGAAAATGTGTAAAAAAAGCTAACCTGAACAACAATTACAAACTTGGTGCTATTAAGTGGTCCAAATTTATCAACATTTAGCACCTTGTAGCGAGAATTCAAATATTTTACAGTTCTAGTTATATCCTGGCTGCTAAACGGTAGTTCAGTTTTGTTTGTAGACAGTATCGCAGTTAACGTTTCCTAGAAGAAAAAATTAAATTTCATCTACAACTGGACTAAGTGTTATTGAAATTCGATGCTTATTTTTTTTCATGCATTATTGCTTTGGTAAATTAAGTGTAAAATTAAAAAACAACGACAAAAATATGCGAAAAAAAGTACATTTTTAACCGAGACTTTTCACAACTGTTTTATTATGCCACATTTTTTGTGCAGTCAAAGAATACATTTAAATAGTTTCAACTGCTTAACAGAATACCAAATTAGCAAGAGCAAACAGATAAAAAGTTGGCAACTTTTTTCTTTGCCAGAACTGTTAAACATTAAAGTTTATAGCAAAAACGACAAAGGTTGGTATGAAAATAAATTTTATAAGGTAGTTTTAGAAATTTTTATATTTGTCAGAGATTACTGTCACTTGATATTAAAACCATTAAGTGTTTTTTGTTTTTTCAAAAATAATCTGCCTAGAATCGAATGGCTTCTACTTTTGCACAGTTAGTTGTCTAATCTAGTGACTTTAAAGAAAAATTTTTACAAATGATTAAGAAGAAGTATAATTTTCCATTCTGAAATAAAAGTTACCTAATGTTGCGTACAAAAGATGCATAATGTAGACAAGGTTTTAAAAACTAAAGCTTAGTTGATTTGTACAATCAGTTAACAACGAAAAAAGTGGTACAATTAATCATGCAAAGGTGCCTGTTGCCTATCAATCGGTTTGCAGTTGTCTGATTGACAGTTTCCTCGTTTCAAGCTTAAAGTACGCGTCAGGTAACTGTCTTACTCTTGTTGCTTTAAATTAAGTTGACTATACAAAATGTGTTTGTATTTTTGATTTTGTTTTATCTGAATATTTGACAGTAACTTATATCTTTCTTAAGCTTATGCTTATAAACCACTTTCTTGTATTACTGTTTTGTTTAGTTTTATAAACGACATATACTACTGAATTTCAAGCTGTAAAGAACTGTTGACGACTAATTACTTACGGTGACAATTTACCAAAAATTGCAAATCAAAAAGAGTTTTTCACTTTAAATGGAACACGTAATTCTTTTTCTGCAACACATTTTTGAACTTATGCATCAACTACAAACACTGAGACGAGTACGTAGGAGAGAAGAAACCAATTTTAGCACAGATCTATTGCTGCAAAAAACGTCTAAATGACAGAAAAATATTTGAAGGCATGTTTGAAAACATTAACCTACAAAGCCGATATTATAAGCAATTTTATAAGCACACAAAAGGATTATTCTGTGCAATTTTATGACCAAAATTTATTGTGCGGTTTTGCATCAAAAACCGTTTGATAGTCAAGTAAAGCATAAAGTTTTCAAATGTTATTCAGTTTAGAATTTTCTAAACAATTTGCAGCTGTTCTAAGTAATTGACAGATGAAATAACAACTATGTTAAAGAAGTAACAGATAGCTATTTTGATATTAGAAGCTATTGCACTACAATATTTTTGTATTGAGCTACAAAAAAATTACCATTAAAATTTCGTTACATTATGACCCTATTTTGTAGAATTTGTTTTTATTTTTTCGCTGACTCTCATCTGTAGCTTGTGTGGCAGCTTTTAGATGTTATGAAATGGTATTATTTTCAAATTTTAGCAAAGTATTTGATTTTTAAGCTTTTTAACCTTCTCTGTTAAGTGTCATAAAAAGTGCTTTTCAAAATATTTATCAGCTTAATAATTTGAAGTTTCTGTTAAATACTAGTAAGTTTCAAAGATCATTACCATCAAATATCGCACTACCAACAAATATCTACACAATTACTCGGCTTTTGCGACAAAAAAGAATTATTTTTACCAAATGTTACATTAACGTTCAAAAACAGACATATCGACTAAAAAGTTTGTAAAATTGTCAGAAAATTTAAATGCACAGTTTATTCTTGGATAAAAATTGTTGTCTGAGAAAAAATTCTTTTGACATCTTTCCAATACAATTCTGGAAAAATTATTGATAAATTTTACTCGAAAACATAAATTATAAGAATATTATCTTACTTTTTGACCATTTTAAGTTATCACTTTATTGAGGAACCTTGTTTTATTTAACTACTCTTCATAGACATTAGCAAGGAGCATCAAACGTGTGTTAAGTTTAAGTTCGTAAACTATAATTTGCTGTACTCGTTTTTACAGTATTTTTTTTATGACATCAACTTCGTAACATCTCTTCTAAAATGTGTCATATTTTTTACAGTTAATATTCTTTTTTTTACGAATATTATTTGCAAATATTCTAATTAGCTTAGAATATTTGTCATCTTATAATTTTGTGATACTGCCTAATCGGATTCTGCCACCTTACTTAGGCTTCAGTAATCTATACCCAAAATCTCAGCAATTCTTTCTTCCAATTTATCTTATTGAAGGCTCAATAACTTTGAACTTTTTTAATTACTGTATTCTAGTTGTCAGCTAGTCATCTGTTGCCACCAAATTGTTTAAGTATAACAGAATAAAATGTCTATAAACCAACGACATCACAGCAGAACTTCTGAAAAGGCAGTTATAATAACAATTGACGCTATTAACCAAAAATTTTGAAACTTTTTTTTGTGTACTGATCAAAACAGAACAGTTAAATCATTGAAAAACAACTAATGAAACTTCAAAAGCAAAAAAAAGGAAGCAGCCTTATAGGCTAACCAGAATTGGCTTGTACTAGCAACTTTTATTACTGATTTTACCAGTACTTTATCAGCAAATATTTTACGCTTTTTTACAGTAAAAAAAATTTGTTCAAAATATTAATTTTGAGTTAACTTCCTTTAACAATTCTTGATACTACATTTTTTAATTGTACAGAATCATTTGTTTAGATTTGTCTTTTATTTCTGCTTTTTTTTCTTTGTTTCGAGAAAAAAGTATAGAAAGTGTATAACGAGCAATAATACGATCAAAAATTTTTTATTTTTTTACGAGTTCTAAAACCAAAATTTTTAACTCCTTAATCAGCATTTAAAAGTACAGCTTCTTTCTACAGTTTCTGGTAGACACCTTAGTGATTAAATGGCAAATATAATTGAGTTTAGTCATATCAAAAATTACTAATTTTCAAGTATAAATAAACAATAGAAAAAAAAGCAAAATTTACAAGATTTAACAGTCGAGCAGAGTTTGTAAATTTGTTCCTTTTAAATCTACAACAAGTTTCATTCACTTCTTCTGCAGCTTTTTGAAGATTTATAAGGAAAGCTATACCAAAAATTGCCTGTAAAAAAGAGAAATTTATGTATTTAGTGTAGTAAAACTTATTTTTTTTATATTACATAAATAGAATAATAAATTGTAATTACCTGTAAAAATAGGTTAAACAAAAAACGTCATTAATTGTTACGCAACAAATAGCGCAGTATTTTATACGATATTCCAATGGCACAAAAAACTTTTTCAGACACATTTTTTTCACTCACCCTCTCCTCTTTCCCACTCTCCCCTCCAACTTCCAGTTAGACTTCTAAAAACAACAATAAACATTTTTTTTTAGTAATAGCACTTAAGTTTCTTTTGATAACTCTACTTTTTTTATCATTGATTTCTTTCAATTTTAACAGATAAATGACGCAACTGACAAAATCTGTTTGAATAATAGATATAAAATAAAAAAAAATACTAAAAAAGAAATACGAAAAAAGAAAACTTACAAGAAAAGAAACAATTAGTAGCTGTAAAAAAACTATTTGCTTTCGACGAGTTAACATCTGCTGTACAGTATTATTAGACCTGTAATAAAATATACGCGTTTTTGTAAACTTACCTGCTTATTGTTGTATGAAGCTGATTAATGTACATTTATTCCATATTTGTTTTGCATTTATACTTTTTCTACAAAAAAACCCTAACATTGGTATTACACTGTTTCAAAGAGAGGTTATAAACTGTTATATGAATAATTGATTACAAATATTCTTTTATTTGTTTTCTCAATTATTCGTTATTACCCAATCCAAAAATTTTTTTCAGCTATATAAAAAACAGTAAATTAATGTGAGTCCCAAATAAGTAAAGCAAAAAAAAAAAAAAAATTAAATTATAAAATCAAAAGTGTTCTTCATAATTCTTATTTTTAATTCTTATTTTTTTTAACAGTATAATATCAGCAGTAGGAATGCGCTATGTACGTCAAATTAATGATCATTCAAGTAAAAAAAAAGAATAAGCTTTAAAATTTAATTATACTTCTTTAAACTGAAAGTTTTTTTGTTAACCGAAAAAAAAACAGTTTGCTTTTGCTTTAATCTTCTTTACAAAACTTTTACCTATAAGTTGCTCTGTTGAGGATGCCAAAAAGCCATGCAATTAAGAGCTGAAAAACAGGCTATTGTATTCGTTTAGTCTACTAACTTACAAAAGCAGAATTTTAATTTATAGGTCTGTTAGTTTATTTCCTTTGTCGTAAAAATAATGGTGTTTTTTTTTTTCAAGTTAACATTATTTGACTAATCTTCAACAAATAAAATGAAGCAGCTATAATTAACTTGCGACGTATAAAGTTTAAGCAAACAATAGGTACCATTGTTTGGGAAACAGTACCAAAATTATCTCTTGAATTTACTTTATGTACTTTTTCTGTTAGTATACGGTTTTTTCGCATCATCTAATTTACTTTTTCTTTTATCGTTTTCCCGGTTTTCTTTTTTTCTGCAAAATATCTATGGCAAACGACAGGCTATCTAGTTGCAATTTATAAAAAAACAGTTTATTATTGAAATTTCAATCATTCGCGCCATATTTTTCTTCAGGCAGTTACACAAAAGAGAGGGCACTTTATAATTTACAAATGGTTGCCTGTTTTTACAGTATTTTAAAACGAAGGATTTTTTGTAAGCGCATTTTTACATTAAATGTTTGTTTGGTCGCCGCACAGCATCATTTTGTTATTGTTTTTAAAGAGCTTTTTTCAGCTGAAAAACTTTATAACTTCTTGATACAACAGCCTAAATATTCTAGTCATACGGTACTTACTATTCTTAAGCATATTACTCAGAATCTGCTATTAACAAATAAGTATTTTTATTTTTTATTCTCCTGTTCCTCTTTCTTTCCTTCTACTAATGCTTTCTTTGCACGAGTTTCCGGTATCTGAAAAAAGGTATTGTTGCGATTTAAAAAAAAAATGTTGATTTTGCTTAGTTACGTTATTAAAAAAAAAATAATTTACAACTTTAGAAATTGTTGTTGTTGTGTAATAAGAAGAAATCTAAAAAAATGTTCTTCAACCTTTATTTTACTGTTTTTCTCTTTTTTTTTTTTCTCTGATAAACAGTACAAAAAACGTTGAATCCATCTTTTTAAAAATTTTTTACTTACATTTCTGCACCACTGTGTTTTACTTTAATTCTAACGTTTACAGTGCACCAGTGTTTGTTCACCTAAACTTTTTACGGTTAACGCAACTTTTTCTGACTCAAAGTTTACAAATCAATTTTAAAAAATTCAATTAATCGGAAAATACATATCACATGGTGTAATTGTATCAAGAAGGGATTTCTCGAGACAATAAGACTAAACGCTTGATCAAATCTGAAAAAAAATAAAAACTAAAAAAAAATTTGGAAAAACTTTTTTTTGATTTTTTATTTAACAATTACTTCTCACTCAACTGTTCGGCAGCTGTAAACCCGAAACATTTGTTTCTCAGAAAAACACTTGTTCAGTTTCTTTTTAAATAGTCATATTTAATTTAATTTTCTTCTCAGCTGACCAGATCGACTGTTTATTATCGGCTGATGTTCAGATGAACAATTCTGCTGTCAAAACTTTTACGAGAAGTGAATAATCTGAATGAAGATAATTTCTCTGAAACAAGACTAATTTGTCTTACATCCAACAAGTTCCTCTGCAAATATATCAATGATAAGTTAAACTTCGAATCATTTTTAATGGCTTCCTTACCTTTAAAAAAGTCTTTTCAGTTTATCTCAGTTTAATAGTTTTGGAGCTCAGTATAACCTCTCAAAATTTACCTCATTAAGCAAAATTTTATAGGTGATGTTTTTTGTGGAACGATTTTTTTCACTGCTTCCTTATTTTGGTGTCTTAAAATTGTGCCTCGGAGAACATATAAATACAAATATATATATATATATATA